TTAAATGGGTCGAAATTGTTTTGTGTTAATCCACAATTTCTCGGCTATTTCATGACTACTAATATGCTGATCTTGCTTTACTTTTTCAAAAACGGCGTCGACTTTATTTGTATGAGGGTAATCAGAGCGAGGTGCATCTTTGATAGGTATCAAAATTCCCGGACTGAAAACGCTCGAACCAAATTTGTGCTACTCTTACTGACACTGCATTAAGGTCCATAAACGTCACAAATGTTTTTCGCGGCTTGATTCGCTTCAAAACTTTAGAATGTATATATCGATAAAATCTGCTACAACTACTACAAACATCAATTTAATGTGCTGCATAACGAGACAATTTAGAATATAATCATAGTAAGTCGTTTCCAAACGACTACAATGAACTTATCGTTTCTTTTATTTGTTTTGCATATCTAAATAATCGTGCCTCGGAGAGCATTAATACTGAATCGTGAGTTCTGATGTCGAATACTGGTTGGATCCAGTATTTTGTACAGAATTAGGTTATTATTGGTTTCTGACCTCTATGTTTTTTTTCGACCGGACCTGACGGAAACATCAAGCAACAACAAACAAACAATTTAGTTTTTATTTAAATTGCAGCTGTGTCCGGCATGCATTGAAATGTCTCACTTTTATTAGGAACCTTCGAAGGTACGCGCACCATAACTCCGCAATGTTTCATCTTAATCGAATGAAAGATTGGTAAGTTGTTGATGTTATAGAAATGCATAGAAGATGAATATCAAACGAATAAGCAAAATTTATTTTGATAATGAAATATGAATGTTAACGTTAAATAAAATAAAAATATATTCGATTGGCTGTAGCTGGGATTTTAATTTTCGTACTATTAAGCTGAGTGTAGGGCAACCCCCCCCACATGCAGTGAGTCACTTGGCTCAGAACCTTGTTTTGTGGCTCTCTTTGTGAGAGATCTATGTTCATAAATGAACTGATGAATGGCTGTTATGATAATGAGATGATACCTGTTGTTAGTAGGCACCGAACACTCACTAACTAAATCGTCACTTGTTTCGTACGGAGGATCCACTTACAGAAATATTTTTACTATAATTCAAACTCAGGTGCCCTTACAATGGATTATTTTTTCAATGTCGCTGGCGTAAATGCAATTTAGATTCCTTGCGCATTATTGTTCTTCTTCCTTCTCGTCCCGTAAATGTCCACTGGACTGGACATCGACCTCTCTGCAGGAAGGAATTGCTGGCTAGATCGGCAATCGCAGTACTATACGTACCTTTAAAGGCGTTGCCACACCAATAGATCGATCGTCGATCAATGCCATTGATAAACGTCAAGCGATGTCGATTGATTCGGATACTGGTCGATAAAACATTGTTTAATCATCGATCGAAATTAATCGATGTGGTTGTGGGCTCATCATCATCTTTCAAAATGTATTCAGAAGAGGACGCGTTATTGTTGGCCAGTACGCTCTTGCTCGTATTATTATTACAGAAATGAAACGCAAGAGCAGAAGACTCTGGATGCGACCGTTTTTTAAGCTTGAAGCGCAAGATGAAATCTTGACGACATTGTAAATAGCGTTCGGTGGAGCGGGGCGGGTCCACAAATAACCAATCGATCGACGACGACTTATTCATTCTAACATCCATCGATGATCGCTCGGTGTGACAGAAACTATCGATCGACGTTGACTAATCCATTCCACCATCGATCGATCGATTGGTGTGGTAACACCCTAACGCTTCTATCCGTCATCGTTCTGGGTATTTTACGTAGGGGGTAAACGAGACGGTTCCATAACTGTCTATCGGAAGCTATTAGTTTTGGTGGCATATCCCATAGAATCCTCTTACAACACCAACGGGACCAAATGGGATGACGAATTATTTTTCACCACCACCGTCCACACAAACTACTTGGACGTGTACTTTGTTCACAATTTTTTTAGATATATTCCTGCTATAAAAAAGAAAATTGCAACATGAATGAGTCGGCTCGACCGAAGTTGGACCATGCTCTCACAGAATACCAGCGTAAAATAGCAGCTTGATGCTGCTGTTCCCGTAGAGAAACGGAGACCTTTTTTACTGAAAATAAGGGATTCCATTTCATTCATCAGAGGTGAAAGCGCATGTGCATATATATATATATATAAAAGTAAGTAAATGCAGGGAATAGAGTGAATGGGGCACTACACTCTATTATAAAGAACCAGAATGTGTCAAAAAAGGCACGTATGGTAATTCATAATGCTGTGTTAGTCCCTACTTTAATGTATGGTAGTGAAAGCTGGGTGTGGCAGAAGAAGCACGAAAGTAGAATAAATGCTGTAGAAATGCGGTCTTTAAGGAATATACTAGGGTTGAATTTGAATGACAGGGTGAGAAATTGCGTGATAAGAGATAAATGTGGTATGCAAGATGATGTTGTGACCAGGATTAAGAAAGGAATGCTTCGGTGGTTTGGTCATGTAGAAAGAATGAATGAGGAAAGAGTGACAAAGCAAACTTATATGGCAGATGTGAACGGCAGAGTCGGGAAGGGACGCCCTAGAAAAAAGTTTATCGACCAAATTGGCGACATTTTGAAGATGGGCCACGTTAGAAGTACCCTTAACCGACGATCACGTATGCGTAGATATATGGATGTAAAGGAGGCGAAAGAGGCATATCAGGATCGTGCCAAATGGAAGTCCGTAGTCTCTGCCTACCCCTCTGGGTGACAGGCGTGAGTGTTTATATATATATATATATATATATATATATATATATATATATATATATATATATATATATATATATATATATATATACAGTGTGTCAGTCACGTCACGACCTAGCGATAATTTAAGGTTACAAAGTATACCTAATTTCATCGACGAAAACACCCATATATGGGGGTCTACCCCCCTCCTGTCGGAATGGCCGACATTTAATTTATAGAGGTGGACATTTTGAACAATTATTAAATTAATAATAATACTTAATGCCATTAAAAGTTTCTTAAAAGTTATAGTGTATTTTTATTTAATCCATTATCGAAAATTAATAGCGCTTATATGAGGCTCTACACACATGACCCTCGCAAAAGGGTCATATTCAAACAGCCCTAACTCTCGAGTTATGCAATTAAGAACAATAATTTTAATGTCAATTTGTAAGTAATATCCTTAAGTATTAGGACAGTATTAAAATTTAGTATCAATGTGCTAGTTTTTGAAGTATGTTAAGAAAAATAAAAAAATAGTCATTTTTTTTAACTTAAATTAGCATTGTAAATGTTTTAAGATATTTTGTAGGAAAAACTTTCCATGATGTTTATTTTTATTTGATAGATTCTATTTTTACCTTTTAAATAACATTTTTTTTACATCTGTAGGACCTTTCTGTCCAGAGAAATCTGCATCTTTTGGCATAGGTATCTAAAATAATAAAAAAAATTAATTGGCGGCCATACCGACAGGAGGGGAGGTAGACCCCCATATATGGGTGTTTTCGTCAATGAAATTAGATATATTTTGTAACCTTAAATTATCGCTAGGTCGTGACGTGACTGACACACTGTTAGGCCGGGAGCTGGTGACAGGTGACGTTCCACGATTTTGTCGTGCATGCCTTTTTAAGGCTTGATAACTAACCCTAAAATATCAAAGATTGTCGGGGTTTTAGCCCCCGGCGCGTCCTCTTCATAAGGAAAAGCGCTTTTCTTTGTGTAGCGAATTTTCGTGTTTTTCCGTGATAGTACACTGCATGCCATTGTAATATACGGAAGTTCAAGTAAATTGAAGCTCTAATAATTGATGGCATGCACCCCGCAGCGGCCCAAGATGATCAAAGGGTTCTGAAAACCTGAAATAAATTAAAGGGCAATTCCGTGTTTTCAAATTGCATGCCGATGTAAAGAATGGAAGTTTTTGTAATAAAAACACTCTGGAAAAATTGGCATGCACCCCTCGTATGACCAACGGTGGAAAATTTCCGGAAAACTCTGTAAAAATTGAACTCCGATTTTCCGTGATTCCAAACTGCATGCCATTGAAAGTATACTTAATTTGTATCATTATTTAATAGTAGGAAATTTGGCATGCACACCAGGATGTTGCAAAATAGAGGCATGCATGGCGAAAGTTGCAGAAAACACTGTGCAAATTTAGGTGACTTGTTTTTGCATGCCGTTTTGTATTTCCTGAATTTACATTATTTCAAGTCATGAACGTAAATGGCATGCATGTAGCTACAGCCCAACATACCAAAATTGTGGAAAAATTGAATAAACATCAATTTTTCAATTGAAACAAAAAACTGAAAAATGCCGTGACTTCTAGTAGTACTATTTTAAGCAGAAATGCGAAATGGCATGCATGTAGCTCCATGAAAATTGTTTAAATAAACAAAAAAACGAGGTTTAGTATTTTATAAGAGTAAGATAAATTATATATGAAATAAATATTAACAAAATTTATTTTAATATAATTATAGGATTATTGATAAGCTATAAGATAATTTCACTGCGAAGTATGAGTTCAAAGGTAAATATATAAAAATATTAATAGAGTTTAATTAGATTTTAATTAATTTTATTGTAATGAAGCTAATATTTTTATTAGGTGCAGATCAGAAGCGACCACCTGATTTCGCAGCAGAATTAAAAAATATAAACTTCAAGAAATCCTTCATCCCCTTTATCATGGACTATTGGGCGTCAGAACCATCAGTGACGGATATAATAGGAGATAAGAAACTATATGTTTCTTTCGAGAGATGTCTACGGTACAAAGTAGATGACACATCGTCACTTGTTTGCGAGGTAATGCCCAATTTAAAATGCGAAGGCCACGAGACACAAAAATGGCGCTTTTCCTGTGTCTACTTAAAGAAGAAAAAAAAGTAGTGATCAAATGCTCTGACACGGATATCCTCGTCATCGTCCTTGCAAACATGGAAAACCTACCAGCGTCAATGAAGGTTTGGACATTATTTGGCGTCGGAAACAATAGTCGTTACATTAACATGAACAAAGTGTATGACGTACTGGGAAGCAAAAAATGCTCAGGCTTACCGGCTTTCCATGCCTTAACCGGGTGCGATTTCAACCCTGAATTTTACCGCAAGGGAAAAAGGAAACCGTGGGAACTGTATTCTGCCAATGAAGATTTCCAAGAAGCTTTCATCGCATTGCAAAGCCCAGATAGCGACAGTTACGAAAGTGCATTTACCACGCTGGAGGACTTTGTCTGCAAAATGTACGCAACAGCGAAAAATGGCATCAGAAAATGCTTTAATGTAGGCGAGGCTCGTCTACGAATATTTACGCAAACATATACAAACAAAATAGAGTCCACAGACGAGTTCAAGCAAAAGTTGATGAATTTCGATGCTTGCATATTGCCACCTTGTAAACGTGAACTCCAACAACAACTTCTTTGAGCAGCGTACATTGGACATATGTGGGAAAATTCTTTTTCTCCAGTGCCCAACGATTCATTGAATGTAGAGGAATTCGGCTGGAAACTGGAAAATAACAGCTATTCCTTCCGGTGGTTCGAGGGTGATGACATTCCTCCTAATATACAGGAAATTATTGAAGGTACTTATTTCTTTCTACTCATGCTTTTATCTTTTCACATTGGAGGTCATTATTCTACTAGAAATTTCATTACTGTGCCATCAGTTGTTTTTTACTTATGTTTAACAAATACGTAAAATCAGAATGATAACTAAAAAACATGTTTTTCTTTAATTTTCATAGCCCCAAAAGAAAGCGGCGCTAATGACGAGGAAGTCATATCGATGTATCCAAATTTTGATGATGAAGAGGATGACGAATCGAATAATGACGATGACAGCGATTGCCAATCCGACATTGGCTACACAACGGAGGAAGAGTACGTACATAGCCGCAATGATGATGATGATAATGATAATGTCGATAATGATGATGAAGCGGTTGATGATAATGATAATTAATAATACTTCACGTTTAAAATAATGATGCTGCTAATAATTTTTTACTTTCATTTTTCATAAAAAATTTAGAAAAAAAAATAAAATTATAAAATCAGACCATTTTTTTGTTTATTTAATCAATTGTCATAAAGCTACATGCATGCCATTCTGCATTTCAACTTGAAATAGTATCTACTAACAAAATACAAAGCGGCATGCAATAAGAAGTCACGGCATTTTTCAGATTTTTTTTTCAATTGAAAAATTGATGTTTATTCAATTTTTTCACAATTTTGGTATGTTGGGCTGTAGCTACATGCATGCCATTTACGTTCATGACTTGAAATAATGTAAATTCATGAAATACAAAACGGCATGCAAAAACAAGTCACCTAAATTTGCACTATCTTTTTTGCAACTTTTGTTATTATTTATAATACGACGGGTTTATTCAACATGCATGCCATTTGAATTAGATAATTATTTCGTTATAAAATTAATATTCATCCTTATTAGGAGTAATTTGGAATCACGGAAAATCGGAGTTCAATTTTTACAGAGTTTTCCGGAAATTTTCCACCGTTGCTCATACCAGGGGTGCATGCCAATTTTTCCAGAGTGTTTTTATTACAAAAACTTCCATTCTTTACATCGGCATGCAATTTGAAAATACGGAATTGCCCTTTAATTTTTTTCAGGTTTTCAGAACCCTTTGATCATCTTGGGCCGCTGCGGGGTGCATGCCATCAATTATTAGAGCTTCAATTTGCTTGAACTTCCGTATATTACAATGGCATGCAGTATACTATCACGGAAAAACACGAAAATTCGCTATACAAAGAAAAGCGCTTTTCCTTATGAAGAGGACGCGCGGGGGGGCTAAAACCCCGACAATCTTTGATATTTTAGGGTTAGTTATCAAGCCTTAAAAAGGCATGCACGACAAAATCGTGGAAAGTCACCTGTCACCAGCTCCCGGTATATATATATATATATATATATATATATATATATATATATATATATATATATATATATATATAGTATAAGTTGGACCAAACTGCACACGGTGTGTAAATTTGATTAAAATCGGTTAAGTAGTTTAGGAGTTCATCGCTTACAAACAATGTGACACGAAATTTATATATATTAAGAATAAGATATATATATTTAAACCATTATATAAACAATTAAACGGGATGCACCAATCCCATTGTGCTGAAGTAAAATAATTACAAACTAGTTATTTATTACTTTAAATTATTTTTCTCTATAGTTGCAATAACATTGAGGTCATTTCAATGTAAATTAACACGCACTTATTAAAATAAAACAAATAATATTTTTATCGCAATACTATATATAATCGTATCACGGTATCGGGTGACTGACCATATAATGAAAACTAACGTTTACTATCATTGTTTTAATAAAATAAAACATTATCATAAGGTGATAACCTTTTTTGGTTTTGCGTAATTGCGTAAGTATTCTTGGTTATCAGTTGTCTATGGTATAATTTCACAGACTAAATATTAATTGTAGTTATATCGTAATATATTAATTGTAGTTATATAGTTATATCGTAATAAGTTTTAGGTATATTTGAAAATATTTCGAATGTTTGGAGGTCACTCTCTAATGTAACCTAGGTTGTACATTAGATATGCATTAAAATATTTTTGTAGCGAACTTGTGTCTGGGTCAACGGGACCTACAGGAACTGTTATTTGAAAGTCGAAGAATAAGAAGGATGAATCAGCCCTCGAATGCCTATTGTACGCCGACGATCAAGTTATATTTTCGTCATCAGCTGGCGAGTGGAAATTGATGGTTACTTTATTGTACGTATACTTTAAAAGAGAGGACAATGAAATCTTCTTCTTTGTTATGGTAGCTTTGAACATTCGCCAATATCAGCGTTAAAGTGTTTATTGAGCAAAACAGCTCAGCAGGTACAAATACTCTGCCCGAGTATAAAATATTGTGATAATACAAGTATCTTATTTTTTCTCTAAATCAATTTTTTGAATTCTAATGATTGGACAGTTGAATTACCTAGAATAAATAACAAACACAGTTGTTACAGCTACATTAGTATTGACAAAAATTAAAGTTTTATGCTATTGGTGTTAATGAAAACATACATTCTGTACATATGTATATATACATATATATATATATATATATATATATATATATATATATATATATATATATATATATATTTGTAGGTTAAAAGGAGGGAGATGATCATAGAGTGAACAACATAATTTTGGACTGTGTAATTTAGGTCAGTGGTTCCCTAATCTAGTCTACATTCATAGAGGGAGCTATCCCTGATCCTCAATTTACTTGTGTGCAAGAATTGCCAGTTCTTAGTCTACAAATAATTGATGTTATATGTTTGCTGAATTTATTAAATTATTTAATCTCTGCTTTGCAAGTTACACTATGTCCGAACAATAAACTATATTACATGGTAAATCATTTTCTATTGCGTTTTTAGCCATCAGATCAACTGTTTCATTGCCATTTACGCCATTATGGTCTGGAATCCAAGCTAAAGAAACCTGAATGTCTTTGAGATGACATCTATACAATGTGTGTTTAATATGGAGCACCAAGGGAATCTTATATTTACTATGCAATTGGTTTGACAAAATTGCTAACAAACAACTCTTGGCGTCAGTAAGAATTACTGACTTATTTAACTTCTGATAAAAAAAAATAGATGTGATTCGATGTATATTGGAGCTTCATGAATCGCCGTGGCCTCACCATTAAAAGTAGAAAAATAGCAGGACATTTAAAATTAAGAATTATTTTGTATCTGGGAATCCAAACTGCTGCTCCAGTACAACTTTCATCTGACTTTTTGGAGGCATCAGTGTATATAATAAGCCAGCCTTTCCATAATTTTTCTATAACTCTACTTAGTATTCTATTTGTTATAGTAGAACTTTTCTCAATAGATATAGATATAATAGATATTTGGTCGGTAAATAATTGCACCATATGGGATATCAAAGATGGGACAGGACTTGCATTGTGATACTGGGTATGGTAGATTGAGTTATGTTAGCAAACTGTTGGATAAGCACTGAGATTCTTTATTAGTCCAGTAATGATTTGATGAAATATATTCCAAAAGAAGGTGTATTATAGAAATGAGAGGTTGGGAACAGAGTTGGTAGATCTTAAAAAAGGAATCGGTCCGAAAGATATTGTCTTCTTAGGTAAAAAAGGGTCAACACACAACACATTCGACTTGGAGAGCATTTATTGGGGAAGATTTCATTGCCCCGATAATTATACGAAGGTATTTGGACTGAATTTGGTCTAGGATCTTTAGGGAAGTCTTGTTACATGGTTCTAAGAGAAAACTGCTATAATCCAAACCATTACGGATAAGGGCATTGTACAATATTTTTTTGGAGTATGGGTGAGCCAAACTTCCAATAAAGCATGAATATTTATATTATTTTCACAATTTTAGAGACATAAATGATATGATGAGAAAGGGTTAGTTTAGAATCAAGGATAACTCCCAAAAATTTTACATTCTCCCTTATTAGGATAGATTCATCATTATAAAAAATATTGATTTCAGGGACTTGCTTATGGAAAGAGCAGATAACAACACTGATTTTGGAAACAGACAACGACAAACTATGATCAATTAATCAATCCTGTAAATAAGACATTGATAAATTCAAGCGGGAACAAGCTGCAAGGAGGTTATCCAGGGAAATATATACAGCTATATCGTCTGCATATTGAAGGATGTTACAGAATGAGTTAACAGAAATTTCTAAATCATAAGTATAGATAGAATAGAGCGAAGGGCCAAGTATTGAGCCTTGTGGAAGACCCTTCCATACGATTCTTGGTGGGAGTAGGTAATTTTGACTATGAATATAAATGGATCTAGAAGAGAGAAAGTTAGACACAAAATTTACTATCCTCACTGGAATACTCAGATTACGAGAGACGTGATATCTATAAAGACTCCAACGAGGAATTCATGTTTAGAGTAAGCTGTACGAATATCAGTTACTAGAGTACTAAGGCTATTCACGGAGCTTAGACCCTTTCGAAATTCAAATTCGCTTTTTTTTAAATGGTTTTTGCTTACAACAAACCATTCCGAACGATTTTTTTTAATTAAAAAGAATATTAACAATGCTATAAACATTACTAATATTCCCTTTAAACACTCGTGGTACGCTTAAAACTGCTTGTGTTACGAGTGGTTCACGCCAGTAGTTGAATGATGGATTCGAACCCACGACCTTTTTGAGTTCGCGGTCCGCGCCCTGCCGTTAGGTTACTGTCGCATAAATTGATTTTTATTAGGTAAAGACCAAAACTGAAATCCGAATTTTTTATGTTTTTGCAGGCGAATGACGGATGAGTCCTAGGCGACAGTGACTCACAGAATTTAAGCCATCCAGCCCTTTTTTTATAGAAGAGGGGGGCAAACGAGCATGCGGTTAAGAAGACTACCGCCGCCCATGATCAACCGCAACACCAGGGGGAACTGTAGGTGCGATGCCGGCCCTTAAGACAGGAGTAACCCTTTTTCTTGAAGGTATCTAGGTCGTATCGGTCCGGAAAAAATGCCGGTGGTAAACTATTCCACAAAGAGATCGTACACAGAAGAAAACTCCTTGTGAAACGTACAGTGGTGGACCGCCAAGCATCCAGATGTTGTGGATAGTATCGGGACGTTTTCCGCGTAGTGCGTTCGCGAAATTTGGCGGCTGGGATTAATCCTAACAATTCTTCAGAGCACTCCCCGTGGTATATGCGAATAAAAATGAAAAGGGATGCAACATCTCTTCGCAGCGCCAGTGAATCGAGCCGATCGGAAAGCACTCGGTCGTCGACGATTCGACCCACTCTGCGCTGGATGCGGTCAAGTGGAAGGAGCTGGTACTGGGGAGCCCCAGCCCTGAGATGGGAACAGTATTCCATGTGCGGCCGAACCTGCGCCTTGTAAAGTTGCAGGCGGTGTG